TGTGGAGGCAATATGCTGACTCTGTAAACCACTTAGAGAGGGCTGAAAGCCCTATGAAGCGGTATATAAGTCTAACTACTATTGCTATTGCTATGACTACCTGTGCCAGATTTTAGGATGAGGTAAAGCATCTTTGGTATGCTAGACTCCTTTTTGTAAAAAAAGAAAAAAGTGACTTAGCAGGTATTTTCTACAACATATCCCAGTCTCTTGTTTCTCTTCAGATTGATCATATCCTATTTTGCTCAAGGATTCTATACAAATGTTAGGAACTCAAGATTACTTCATTATCATACTCTACCAATTAACCATCAATATCCAATAAATGGGAGCAACGAAAATCTGTGTCCTGTACTGTTTTTCTCTAATGCTTGATATTGCATCAGCTTAACAGTCCACATATCCTTGAATGTGATAATGAGAACATCTCAATCAATACCTTCGGAGCAGATTGTTGATGCTGTCTTATGGAAGCATTAAGAAAATGGGCTTTTTTTTAGAGGGAGATCCTAGTTAGGTGCATAAAGGTTTTGCTAAAATAGATATATAAATAGGCATGCCGATTATAAAGATGTTAATTAATTCCCCAAAGTAAAATTCTTTTCTTGAATGATGTAGTGATTGAAACCATTCAAGTGAAAGAAAATGCATGTTTATGAGCATTACTCTCTTTTGTATACTTACAAAACAATACTTTTCATAGCTGTGCATCTTGTAAACTGAAGAAAGAAGCATCACTAACATGTGACAAGTAAAGAATGAGAAGAAATGGATGCTGCCAAGACTGAATTTAATTCAGAACTGTGCACAAAATATCACAAAGCAATGACTTTAACCAGATTGTGTTACTTATTTAATTTATGATGTTCTGCTTTTCTGTTGAAAAATTGCATATGTATTTCTGTACCTGACCGCATAGCACAAAATATAAACACTGCTTGATACTACATGTGTGTTTTAATATTGCATTTATTTATAATATCGCAGGCATTTTTTTTTTAGTTTTTAATTTACTTAGTTACTGGGTAGCTGTATACAAAGCTTTGTTGTGACACATTTTTCTGCATTATCTTACTGGCCTAAAATTTCTTGGCCCATGGGTATACTTTGTACAAAAGCAGCAGTTCTGTTATAGCGAAGATACAAAATCTCTTTATCAAGGTTGAATCTTAGGGACTTCCTTTACATATAGATGCAGTCATACATGTAACACAACAGTACAATTCAATACAATTCAAATTGAGACTCAAACAGCACTCAACATTTACATATAGCAGCAATAATTTCATTTGCACCAATGAAAGTAGTGCTTCTACATCCACAAACATCTGGCTTTTCGTCTATGAGGTGTGACAATTGCTTACCTTGTACATGGCAGAGTATCTGTTTCTGCAAAAAAAAAAGTAAGTAAAGTGATGAACATTGTTTTAAACTGTAATTCCTAATTGCTCTAACTTTTTAAAGTACAAGAACAGGGTCAACTATTATTGATATACTGTTTGTAGAAAATACTGTTTCCAAGAGTAAGAGAAATAAATAGTAGCCATCAAATTGTATTGCAGTAACTTCATTGATAAAAGGGTAAATAAAATTATAGCAATAGGTGAAACCTATTTCAAAACTTCTATCTATCTATCTATCTATCTATCTATCTATCTATCTATCTATCTATCTATCTATCTATCTATCTATCTATCTATCTTGTCTTCTATCTGATGCACATCATGACATAAATTGGTGTTTGACAGATATTTACCTTTACCTCTTTCATATGCCTTTTGAAAGACACATCTGTCTCCCTCCATTTTTGCCTTACATAATACA